ACATACATACATTTGTGTATCTATAGGGAGGGAGGAAGGGCTGGAAGAAGAGAGTCCTAGTTAAATGGAGATTTACAATAGAATCTGTAATCTTCACAATTATATGTGCTAGCCATAAAAAGTACCAGAGGGAAAGAAATAAACAATATAGACAGTAGGAAAGTGAAATTACTTTTTTCAAAGTAAACTTATTTAAAACTAACACAGTTATTAAATTGAAGCCTTTTAGCAAATTGCCTTTATTCTGGGAATCTTTAATATTTTCCATTTAGCAAATCCTTATCCGTAAGAGCCTGCCAATAACCTCTGCATAAACATCCAAGCATCCACATCCCTAAACTTTATGACAGTTAGAAAGCAATTTTATGAATATTTATGAAAGCAGTAAATTATTAAAATAAATATAGATATTTACACAGCAGAACAACATCTTCATTTAATGGATGTGGAAAAAATGTTAATATGTGAACATTTTAAAGATGAATTGGTTTGGCCTTCAGGGCTTTTGTTACTCTATTAAAAGTTAATTTAGGACAAAAATTATGGCTTTTTTGTGAATTGCAACCCCTAAAGATTAAATCATGATCAAGACTCACAACATTTTTCAAAAAATGAATCTGTTAATGGTATTTCCAGAGGCTGGATATGAAACCACTGTGCAGTTCTCCCTGAAAAAGTCTCCTCTGGCTTCTTTTATGTGCTCACAGTGGTGACATATATTCAGATGAGCTTTAGGGCAGAGGAGCTGGGTGCTAGTGAGGTGGTTTCAGTCCTTCTGTCACCACACATTTTATATTATTAGAATACATTCTCTACAAACACAGTGGGCAAGTCAAGTTGTTCTTTCTCAAGAAGGTGTACTACATCACTAGTGATTTGCTTTATCCCTAGTGATAAACTTCATCATCTTTCCCCACATTTATAGATCCTTTTGGTTCAAGGACATCAGGAGTCTGCTCTGACCTCCCATGACTGGCTACTCAACCTCACCAGTGATCCCAATAACCTGAGTTCCACCAAAACACAAATTTTCCTTCTAGCCAGAACACTGGGAGACAGTCACTTTCAATCTCAAGGTGTGAGGAAGCAAGTGTTCTACCTTTTTTATGGCAGTTCACTCCACAAGTTGAGCTTCACTTCTGTTCTACATTTGTCTCATTTCAGCTCCCTCCTTAAGAAAGTCTCTTTTCTTTCTTAATCCAGTCCCCTCTTTATTCAGAAACAGTCCAGCTCTTAAAAGTGTCTCAGACTAGTCACAAGATCGCTTTGGGAGTTGTCATAGCAGTTTAATTTTTTTCCTTCTGACAGTTTTTCAGCATTGTGAATCATTCTGGCTAACAAGACCAAAATGACTAGCACCATGGCTATGCCAAGTTAACATGTCATACGAGTTCTCCCTGTGTGCTTCACTGCTCAGTCCGCTGGCTCAGTTCGTGTTGCTGAGGAAATTGTCAATCCAGGTGCTGGGAGTAGTAAATTCCTAAACCTTTCAGTTGCATTTGAAAATTATTCTGTCTTTGTCATACTCAAAATTTCTCCAACCCTTGAAGCATTTCTACCATTCTTTTCTCCCCCTTTTTATATTATTTTTAGAATAGACTAGAGTCTTGCTCCCTAACTGATCTTAGCAGTGCCCTAACAAAGGTAAAACCCCTTTCCTGAACCTCTGTTCCACTCTGATTTATAAATATATATTAATACAATGCTCTTGCTGATACCCTGCTATAAAGGTAGGGTCCGTGTTCTTTCTCTTTATAGCTGTAACTTATGATTTGGCTGTAGTAACATGTTTTTTCTTTGAATAGGTACAGTTTAAGGGATCAAGATGTGTTGGTGTGGCTCTGCCAGAGCTCTGGACATGTGCCCACTGCCATAGCTGCTGCCCCTCTTGCCCTGATCAGATTCTATGTTCTGTTCCAGTGGAATAGAAACACAACCCTCCCAATGAAATCTGAAAAATCATATCCAGTTACAAAAATAACATCAGGTCAGATTTCTACAAATCTTGTCCTCATAAAGCAGCTTAAATTTATGAACCTTGCCAAATTTAATCAGGATTACTCATGTTAAGGACTAAACTGCATATTCTAACAGCACATTAACTTCAGGCTTCTCTGCATACTCCAAATTCGCTGTATATTGCACTTCCAAGTTACTCCAAGCTCTGAACCCTGTCTGTTGCTTTCAGCATGTCTGAAGATATGAGACATAGGCCCAGCCTGAAAGGCTGAAAGTAGAAGCTCCAAATTATTTTCAACCTTCATCCTCCCCCAAATTTATACCCTATCCAATCCCCATAAAGAAACCTAACTAAAAGTATTGTCAGTAATGCAATTATTTTTTTTAAATATCCAAATTTCCACCACTTGGGCTCATTTCTATAAATGATCCCATTGCACATGAAGCTCTTTTTCACCAGCACATCTTTTCTGTTAATGTGATGTAAAGACTAAAGAAATGTTGTTCAGTTTTCATAGTGATTTTTCTGCCAGCAGCAGTTTATTATTTCTTTCAGGTTTTTTCCAATGGACTCGGTATGAAAAGAAAGAACGGTCAAGATTAAAACACCCCACACATTAAAAACACAAATGGGGGAAAAAAGAGAACACACATGAAAAACAGCACTTGGTGATGGAGAGAGAGACAAAATGCATACCCATGGCAAGAGAAAATGCAAGCTGAAAAAGAGACACGATTAGAAACTCTTAAGAAAATGAAACCTTGATGCAGAGTCTATAAAAATAAGACTCAAATCCAGAGTGAGATATTTGTATAATATAAAGTAATAACAATGAGAAAATAAAGAACATTAAAGTATGAAAAATACAAGTGAAATCTAGAAATTAAAAAGAAAACCAGTAAATAAATACATATATATAGCCACAGCTCTGTTATGAACCAGTGTTCCATTTTAATGTGATGTAAAACCAAGCACATGGAAGACAGAGATAAGGAAAATATAGGCAGTGGGAAGTATCTGCTGAAACAGAAATGTGAGACTGAGCAAGTACAGAAACATAAGCATTAAGGGGAAAAAGATACAAAATGTGGATTCAGTAGTGATACTGGGCCCATTTAAACCAGTAGGACTTGCTGTTTAAGGCAATCATTCACTTCAAGTACTCCTTGTGGAAGAAGAATCTATTTCTGATAATCTTTCTACATCTTTTCTCATACTTATGACAAAAGAAAAGCTTACAATTATTTCACTGCCAAAGAGACACAAATTATATTCTAAGAAAGAGGCTAGTTTATAGTCTCAAAAACCAGGGGCAAACTTCCTACCTGAGTGAGAACACAAAATACGTTTGGGGAGTTGTAATTTTAGCTCAGATCCTGAGTATGCATTCACAATCAGTCTCCTCATCACACCACACTTTGGTTCACCCTGTATAATAGACTGAACATGCAAAATGGATTCTTTTGGAGCAGCAGATGCACACCAGAAATGTAGCTAAAGCACCTCAGCCACTAAATAGCTCCCATTTGGGCCAGGCTACAGCCAATCCCCACTAAAAGCTCTTGAGATGAGCCTTGTCCTCAGCACCACTTGCTTTTCCCTACTCCCTCAGGCTGCTCGACTTGCTAATTTAGACATAGGGAGTGCTCACAGGAACACAAATTGGTAAAAAGTCCATCTCGCAGACAGTGCCATTACAGCAAACTTTACATCTTTATCAAATCCCTACTTCATGGGCCCTAATTGCCATTTCATTGGTTTTGTCAGTGGTGAAATGCAATATCAGATCTATTGCTGGAAAGGATGCACAACAGCCAAGTTCCAGCAATGACAACTGACCTTTCATGGGGGTAATTAAATTGCATCTAAATAATTTAAATAAACAGCTAGAGCTACTCAGTTGAAAATGGCATTTTTATTAAGACAAATCTTTTTCCTATAGAAAAAATGTTAAGTGGTTATTTTCTGAACCTGTATTGTAGTCCCAACTGTACTTTCAATGGCCAACAGAGCAGATCCTGATTTGTTTAATTGCAAGATCTGGAGTCACTGTTTTTTTATAATTGCTTTTGTGAATTGGGAATGAATTGTTTAAGTATTTATTGTGCTAGTATATTTCCTGTATTTTCTGAAAGTCAAACCAGCATTTTTGTTTATAAAATATTTGCAACAGAAGGCAGTTACTGGACATTTAGAGTTTAAATGTGGTTTATATGTTGAGTCCATTATCTTTAATGTACAAATGGATTACTGAGCTCCTGCTCTGTGCTCTCTGCCAGTGCTGGAGCTAGAGGAGAAGACAGACACACATGCACCATGTACATCCCTCCCCACATACAATCACAACCAAACAAGGAGGAAGGAAAAGAAAACCATGGAGGCAAAGGCAAATTCTCTGCACAGCAAATGAGTTACAATGTCATTTCTTAAACAAATATGTAAATAGTGTCAGTCCTCCTATAGTGTATGCTGTTGGTGGTTACCTCATAATCCCAGAGCTGGCAGCAACACATCCAAGTGCTGGATGTTGGACACAGCCCAGGAGGGCTGGAAAGACCCACAGAAGCCTGAGGCCAGGTAAGCACAGACTGTGCTTTGCCTTCTCTCACAGTGTGCTCAAACTACAGCCCCTAAACTAAGTACTATGTGCAATTATGCAGAAACAAAAGATTTCAGTGTAGTGTTCTAGGTACATTTTTAGCAGACACAGATCCAACTATTCTTGATCTCAGTTGCCTTTTTCTTCCCGTATGCTTTATTATTTCTTTCAGGGTTTTCTTTACTTGTCAAGAGGCTTATAGTACACCCAGAGAAAATATGGGGCATTGCAAGATATGCAACAAAATAAATAACTGTAATGCATAAAGAGCACTGCAGAGCAAAGTGGTGAGTATTAAGGAAGAATGTGAATGCCAGTAAGTCCTGACTTATTGGGATAGAATAGGAAAGACTTTGTTTTGGAATTTTGAAACTGAAAAAAACAACAACCTCACCCAACAAATGAATAATTCTGCAAATGTGTAACTAGCTTTTGACTAACCTTATAAAGCAAAGGTGATTGTCCTAGCTTCAAAAGTGCAATTTTTTTGGTCACGTTTGTAATGGCTTGAATCCGGATCAGGTCTTCCATGGTCCCATACTGTACATCAACAAGCTCTGCCTGCAACAAGAAGACAAAGTTCAGGCTATACCTACAACAATACATCATTGAGGACACTCCTTCCACAGAAACAAATTGTTTGCATAAGTACAAGCACTTGAGCAGAGTCCTGCAATTACCTTAACCCCAGTTCTAATCAGCAATACTGGTAATAGCAAAGAGCTTGAGAGTTCAATCTGACAGATAATTCTTTTGCAGCTTTAATTCACAATTCATCAGCTGTGGTAAAATCTTTTTTATTATTTTCCCCCCCAGTGGTTATAAGTGATATTGTTTCTGATGAGAATTTTACCCCGTTAGCCACAGGAATTTATTTAAAACCACACAAAATATACTAACTCACTTCTGTTTATTTTCTTAAAAGGAATCAGAGTCTTGTAAAGCATTTCAGGAAATGAGTGAGTGATTATACTGATCACTTATGAAAATACACAGGTAATACAAATTTCACCAATATACAGTTTTATTATGTGGTCTCACATGTCTCCTGAGCAGCCTTATCTATCTACTGAAGTAATTTTTTATAATCCATCAGTTAACCAAACATTATACTCAGATAACCATACTGATAACAGACTATGCTCTGACATGTAAACTTTTCTAGAGTCATTTCTAACTAAAAATGTTTAGAGCATGAAGATCCTCAGCTCTTCAGAGAGGAAGAAAATGCAAGAAAATATAGTATAGTTCTAAGTTATTATTAGATATCAAGCACTGGCAGTGCTGAAAAAATATTTCAAGACACATTTTCAAGGATTTTTTTTAAAGATATATCATTCAAGAATGACCGAGGGCATTTTCCTCAGATATTTATAGCAATAAATCCTGGTGAAGAAAAAACATGAGGATAATCAGTCTCGTACATTACTATTTTAGGATGTTATGATGCTCTCAGGACACTGACGAGGTCATTCTGGAACCTCTAAATCCCTACACAATGTTCACATAAAACACAAGTCCAAAATGGCACAAGAATATTACATGAGTCTTTCAAAATTGAAATAAGATGAGCAGTACAAGATGGAAAAGTTTGTCTTTCAGTATAGTTTGGTAAATTAAGTATGGATTCATTGCTGAAGGCAACAGTCCTGGTTTTGGGTATCTCCACACACACTGCTTCAATCTAGCAACAGTTGTTCTGGATCTGTAGGATGTGTGAAATTTTACTAGATTCCTGAACAATGATATTTTGGGAAAGTATTTACCCTTATAAAACCATATCTGAATATTTTGTCTGAGTTTGCATCTTGACATTTAAGTTGAAACCATACAAAAATATTGCCAACCTTCCTTCTGAATATTTTGTCTGAGTTTGCATCTCGACATTTAAGTTGAAATCATACAAAAATATTGCCAACCTTCCCGTGTTATTAAATGTATTCTTCTAAACTTTTAAGATAACAAGTTTCCAAGTCTGTCCTCAGTGCTGTATAAAGCAAGTATTTGGCAAGCCAGAGTTATAAGACACTTTGGAACAAGCAAGCATCAGGTTTAACATGAAATACTGAAATGGAAGAACAGAAAATCTTGCACTTCATACTATTTCTTCTGAAATATATGGGGGTTCTGATATCTAAAGTACTTGAAAACTATTCAGTAAGAAAGTTCAAGTGCTGACTACAGGCTGAAATCCAATATAAATATTTTCCTCCATGACCATTGTATTTGAAAAGTAGGATAAAATCAAGTCAAAAAGATTTTATGCAGGTGGAAGGTATTTTGTATTTTACCTAATCTAACGGCTCCGGTTATAGAGTTAAACTCAGGTGAGGAAAGGCTATGAACTAGGGTACTTCCTTAAGGTCACACAGTTTTTATTTCATTCTGTAGATATCATCTTTATTATAATTTGTACCTACAGATGTGTCAATAGATATACTTTAGTGCAATAATTACTAGCATGTCAGACGTTTTATGGCTTTGGAAGTTATGGGAGGTTATATCTAGGTTGATTTCTAGACATACTTCTATCTAATTCCTTTGGACCCAATGCCCTTCCCACTTAGCCTACCAAAGCAAAAATCAGAGCTTTCATCATTGGTATGAAAGAAACTACACAGAATTTTCCTGAGGCAAAATCAATACACAAAGATACAACATAATAAAGTATCAAGCCATTTGCTTCTCCTGTATGCCTGTGTGAAAATGAGATCCCTGCCCATCTACATTCATGTGCTGCTTCTCTGCACATCACTTTTGCTAGCTGCTTCTCCAGAGTGCTATCCACCACTCTGTAAACAACAAAACTACATGTTTGCACAATTATTAATGCATTTAGCGACTGCCCTTGGATGTTCTTTGTTAATTTATGGATGCAAACTGCCTCTTCAAGAACTGCTCACTGGTCTTTTCCAGGCAACATATGAGCTCAACAAGAGAGAGGCAGAATAAAAGGCCCTGCAAAAGCACAGCTCATTTTTTAATTATGTGAGAACCAGAACTTGACTCCCTGCTGCTCCAAACACTCTGCAAATGATGTTCTGTGCTTCAAATGTTATAAAGTAAGCATCAATACCAAAGTTCTTGAATACATTCATATATTGAGAGCACATGTAAGAATTCATTATCTAATGAATGAGCAGTTGGATATAATATAACAGAGCTACATGTGCTTCTATCACACATCTTCCACATGAAGGACAGATATGTCAAAACTCAATATATGAGAAGGTTTTATTTTGTATTTGCCTGAAAATAAGTATGACCTAAACATCCTGTAATTCTCCAGCTTTAGGGTTACTTGACACATATATTTCACTGTAACTTTGAAGTAGTTCTCATCACAAATCTTTGACCTCTGATTTCATCTTTTGGGGAACCGTGGGTAAAAACATTGCAAATGTCTACCAAAGTAGGTGATCACAGTCTGGCAACATCATGCATAGCCAAAAAGCCAGGGGATTGTCCAGGTAATCTTAGATCTAACTTCATCTAAAATTGCAAAAATAAAAATGGAAATAATTCCCTGGCTAAAAGAAGTCAATAACCCACTGGAGAGTTTAGAACAAAGCTGTAACATCTTGGCAATACAACTCAGAAACTGACAGGTACACAAGAAGTTATGAAAACAGTTTTAAAAATTATTCCTTTAGTTTAGTAGAATTTGTAATAAAAGCAAAATATTTTGTGCTACTTAATAACAAAATCCCATCAAATACAGTACAGCCACACTAGCTCAGAGTAGTCAGTTTTGTTTTTATTAAATAGGCTGGGGCTCAACTAATTGGACTCCTTACTTCTAGCATTAAATAAAATGTTGAAAAAAATATCTTCAAAATAATGGTGAAGAATTCTATTGAATCTTCTCAGTAATCCACTTGGAAATTGACAGACCATTTATGCTCCACGAAGGTCTATTTTAGTCACAACATTCCTAATGCCTCAAAAAATGAAGGTCACATTTCCTATTATTTTTTCTTTACTTTTTTAAAGAAATACTTATAATATGACATAATTCTCATCTTACACATGATAGCTTCTAAAAAAGCAGACTACACCAGCCCAAACTACCCATATTTTGATAAAGTGCTTTCCTATGGTAGCATAATTCTGTTCAAAAACAAAAGACAACTCATCCTTTTATCAGGTTCTGAAAAAGAGCACTTGTCTACTTGGTTTAGATATGCAACAGTAAATCCTCTTACCCTCAAACTGGGAAACTGCTAAAGAATGAGTTGTTTTATCCGTCTGAATTAGGTACTTACTCCTTGAATTGTTTCATGCTATGCTGTTTGAAAGATATGACTATTTAGGAACAAATTGTGATGTGCATTATGGAGTTCAGTAGTATTCCCTCATGCATGAAATGAAGTAGGGGTAGGTAATAAACCAAACATTTTTAGGGAAAGTAATTATTTTATGTTAGACTTATTATTAGTTTCTAAGTCCCAAGATGATGCTCAATGACTTGTAAACATTCTGTCTTAAAAATTCTAGAAAAATCCCCCCCAAAAAAAAAAGACAAACACTCTGAAAATGCCACAATCAAGACAGTTAAGGATTTTTTCCCCAATTCCTTCTATTTGTCTCCAAATGGAACAGAACAAGACAGCACACTTCAGTCACAGATGACAAAGAGTAAAGCAAGTCTTGAAAAGGAGAAGTATGACTAACTGTATGAAGCAGGTGGCAGCTGGGATCCTGAAGAT